TCAGACCAACAAAACACTGCTACAATGCTCCATCTGGTGTGAAAAAAATCCAGAAGGTTATAATGTGGTTTTAACTTCTATTTGATGAGAGAGCTTGTGAGAAGCTGCATTTGTCTCATATATTTAAATTTGTGGGTTTTACTGCCCTGTGAGCCAGTTACTGTCACAACAAAGCAGCATGGTATAGTTCAATGAGTGCTGGACTCAGAGTTGGGAGAGTTCTTGGTTTAAATCCTGTCTCTGATTTTTATAAGCTGTGTGACCCTGAATAAGTCACTTAGCCACTCTTGAGGTTTAATTTCCAAATCTGTAAAATGGGCATAACAAGACTATCTACCTTAGCAGGTTTTTTAGGAGAATGAAAGAAGATGATATATGAGAAGTGCTTTTCATTATTATTGTTATTATTACTATGTCCCACATTCACAGATTGCACCTCTAATTCCTGGGAGAAGTGGATTCTTGATTTAGGACTAGAAGGCCATCTAGTCCAACCCCTCGGTTTACAGATGAGGAAACAGAATCCTAGAGAGGTTAAGTGACTTGCCCAAGGTCACACAAGTAATTAGTGGCAGAAGCTTTGAACCTATATGCTCTCACTCAAAATCTAGCACACTTTCCACTGCACCACAGTGGGAGACTGAGAAGAAAGAATGTAGAAGGATTGGTAAAACCCATTTCCAATAGGTTCAATTCTAGGTATAGTAGTCATCCTGGACAAAAGCTTGTACTACCTCAGATTCATAAATGGAATGAGACAAATTGAAAGCTTCTCTCCCTCTCACCATCTTCTACCTGGCTGCACCAATCTATGATCCAAAGGGGCTGCTGCTTTGAGTTAAGGCAATGATTATCTTGCTAAAATTAAACAATCATAACATCAACAAACATCTGAGAGATACAGCACATTAAAATTACTATTATCCATTAGTATGTTAGGTCAAATTATTTTTTTAATCAGATTAGCTTTCTATTCATCCTTGCCTAGCTGAGAGCTTATTGAATAGGACACTGGAAATTAAGATTTTATGCAGAAACAAACGACAAGGTTTTAGGGTTTGGAGGGGTCTTGGCAATTACCTATTCCAAATCTCTTATCTTAAAAATAAGGAAACTAGTCACATAAATGAAATGACTTTTCCAAAGTCTCATGGCTAGCTAGAGACAGAGCCAGGACTAGAATCCTCTGTTTTGTTTTTTTTTTTTTAACTTCCTGGTTCTTCCTCTAAGGGAGAAAGGAGTGGAAAACTTCTTGTTTTCTAAAATCTTCCCTCTTTCTCATAAAAATGCTATTGAATCATTCACACACTCCCTCACTCACATAGGAGGAGCCTAGAGAGGGTAAGTAATTTGCCCAGAGACACAGGGAGTAAGAGGCAGACTCAGGCTTTCAACTAGATCTTCTCACTCAAAATTTAGACCATTTTAGATAAGCCAATTGCTTGTCTAATTGCCAAATCTTTTCAGAGTCTGTATCTTTCTTTCTATTTACCACAACCTTATTTCCAGTCCTCTGCATCTCTCACCTGCCCTATTAGGAGTATTCTAATCGGTCTTCCTGCCTTAGGTCTCTTCCCTCTCCTGCCCATCTTCCATAGGGCTACCAAGGAGATTTTTCTAAAGTGCTAGACTGACCCCTTCACTCCTCTCCTCAATAAACTCCAGTGACTCCCTATTGCCTCTTTGATCAATTATTTAGTTTTGTTTATCTTTTAATGTTCTTCATGAGCTGGCCCCAATCTACCTTTTTCAGCTTTACTCTTCTTCCTGAACTTTATAGTTCACTCAAACTGGTCTTCTTGTCATTCCTCATGCTTGAGACTATCTCTTGTCACTGTTCCTAATGTCTTGAATGTATTTTTTCCCTCATCACTGCCTCTTAGAATGCCTTGTTTCCTTCAAAGCTTTGCTCAAGGGACACTCTCAGCATGAAGCACACCCTGACCCCCAGCCATTAATGCCTCCTCCCTCAATTTCCCATGTATTTATTTTGTATATACTGATCTATGTACAAGTTGTCTCCCCTAATAGGTCTGTCTGTCTGTCTGTATCTATCTATTTATCTATTTATCTCTCTATCTCTCATCTATCTATCCATCTCTCTCTCTCTTTGTCTCTCTGTCTCTGTCTCTCTTTCATCTATCTCTCTGTCTGTCTGTTTCTGTCTCTGTCTCTGTCTGTCTGTTTCTCTACTCCCCCCTCCCCTCCCTTCCCCCCCCCCCATATTACCTATCTAATCATAGAATATTCAAGTTGGAAGGGCCCTTAGCAGCCATCTACTCCAACTCATACTCCTAAAGGAAATCAACAAGATCTGGTCATCCAGCCTTAGCTTGGAGACCTTAAATGAGGATTTTCTCCTGAGGCAGCCCATTCTACTTTTGTGTAGCTCAATTATTAAGAAGTTTGTTTTTTTGATCCCCTGAAATTAAGACCAAATTAATCTCTCCACAATTTCCAAGCATTGTTTCTGGTTTTGCCCACTGGGGCTAAAGAGAGCAAGTATAATCTGTCTTCCACATGACAGTTATTTAAAATGCTTGAACACAGCTATCATGCCCCCCCCGAGGTTTTCCTTTTTCAGGCTAAACATCCCTAATTCCTTCAGTTGATACGCAGATGACATGGGCTCAAGGCCTTTGAACAGCCTACTTGTCCTTCTCTGAATGTTCTCCAGTTTATCAATATCTTTGTTAAATTTTGGATACCCAGAATTGAACACAATAATCCAGATGTGATATGATCTGGGTAAAGTACAATGGAAATACAATTTCTTAAATTCTTGGAAGTTATTTATCTCTTAATCATATATATATATATGTATATGTTTCTCCATTATACTGTTGACTTATATTGAGCTTGCAGCACACTAAAACCCTTAGATTATTTTCAGACAAAACACTATCTAGCCATTCCTTCCCCATATTCTACTTATGAAGCTGATTTTTGAACCATTTTTAAGACCTGACATTTATCCCTACTGAATTTCATTTTATGAGATCCTGTTCAATGCTCTAGTGGCTAATCTGTGAAGAGCCTTCTGGAGTGGATTCTATCCTCCAGTATGTTAGCTATCCATCACAATGTTGTGTCCCCTATAAATTTGATAAGCAAATTATCAAATTGTCATTACCTTATCTATTTCCTTTTTCTGTCCAGGCAGTCTAAGGTTAACCACAATGACAAAACTGCTTCTCTTTCTCCCTCCATTGACTTTCACCCAAGTGGCCTCCATCATACTTTACCTCTCTGGTTCTTGAAAATTCTTACATGAGTATATGTTCTTAGTAAAAGAAAATATTTCATCTATCCTGTTCCTTTTAAATATGGTTTATTCATCTAATATCATACTCCAATCATGGATTTCATTCCACTAATCTTAGTGATACATGTAAGGCCATATTTGTTTCTTTATGTTAGGACCTGTAGTTTATCTTGCTTGTTTTTTTTTTTAATTTCCATCATTTATCTATAGACATTTGATGTTATACTATACTATTTTTTCTTGCTTTAATTTTGTACCTTTGTGAACTTCTGAGTATCTCTATGATTATTCTTATTCCTTCATTGGAGGCATGCTATTCTCTATGGTATCTAGCTTGGTGAATATACAAATCATTAGACTGTTAAATACCTTCTACATTTTAAAGGCCTTGGGTGTTTTCCCCCCTCCACTTAATAAAAGACAGACAGTTGTGAGAGGAAATGTAAAAAGGTAGAATATCATATTCTGAATAGATTAATAGTCTATTATTTGTCTTTGCCTGGGGTAATTCAGAGAAGTCTTCTCTTTTGAAATTTACACTAAAATTGAATATGCTCACAGATGCAACTTTTTAAAAGCAGAATCATGGGTATGAGGATAGGGTGATAAGCAAAAGTAAACCAGCAGATCTGCATTCCATTTGGAACCTTTGTAAATAGCAAAATTGTATACTGGCCTAAAAGAAAAAAAACGACTCAGGTAATTTCTCTAAAGGTTTCTTGGAATAACAGTAAGAGATCTAGGGAGATTTATAATGCAGCAAAGTATGAAAGATGAAATGAGCCTAAAGAATGAATACAACAGGAGAGGGGGAAGAGGTTTTTATGTGAATTATTTGCTATGGGTTTTCTAATTGTTTGAATTCTTATTAAAGACAACTTTGAACCAAGAGAGAAAGTCTTATACTGACAAGCGGAACAGGGCTGGAATTAAGGTTAGTAAGATATCTCCTTACAATCTTAGTCTCCTTACCCCATCTGGTAGTTTAATTAAATAATCACTTTCAAAGACCTTGTATCTTCCAGCTTTGTAAGGAGTCAAAATCAATGATATTCCTCAGATTCTAAGTCTTGTGCCAAACTAAGGGAACAAAGATTGCTGAACTTATCTGTGACACACCCACGTTGACTAATCCTTTTTCTACGTTGCTATTGCACACATTTGTAGCATGTACTTAGTCCAAGCAGCTTGGCATAGTCACTCGACTCTGGGGCCTAGACTTGGGGGGCTAGACTTGGAGTTAACAAGATCTGGATCCAACTCTTACCTTTTGAAACCTTCTTTATAGTTGTGTAACAGTAGGCAGATCCCTTAACCTTTCTTAGCCTCAGTTTCCTCATTTGTAAAATGGAGACCTGTAGTGTCTATTTTCCAGAGCTTTCATGAGGTACAATTGAGAACATGTTTGTAAAACCCTATGTAAATATCAGTTATTATTACAATCAAGTCAGGAAATGTTTATTAAATATCCTCTATGTTCCAGGCACTTATGATAAGTGCTGGGCATGCAAAGAATGGCAAAACCCCAACCAAACAAGTTAAAAGTCCCTGCTTTCAAGGAACTCACAGTTTAATGAGGGCTGATGCAAATAGCTATGTTCGAGCAAGATATGACCAGGATAAGTTGGAGTTAATTTTAGAGTAGTGGCGTTGGCAGCAAAGGGGATCAGGAAAAGCTTCTTGAAGAAGGGGGAACTTCAGCTGAGAACAGAAAGAAGCCAGAGAAGTCAGGAGGCAGAGAAGGAGAACATTCCAGGAATGGGAGACAACCAGTGAGAATGCATGGAGATGGGGGATGGAGTTTCTTGTGAGAGGAACAGCTAGAACGTTAAAACACTGGAAAGGTAAGAAGGGATCAAGTTATGAAGGGCTTTAAACAGCAAAAAGAGCATTTTATATTTGATCCTAGAGATCACTTCTAAGGAGACAGGGATTTCTCTAGAGATAGGGAGCCACTGGAGGTAATTGAATGGTGTGTGTGTGTGTGTGTGTGTGTGTGACATACTCAGATATGTACTTTAGGAAGATCTAGGTTTTAGAAGAATAGAAGGGACTTTGGGAAACATCTCCAATGCCCTCATTTTAAAGAGGAGGAAACTGAGGTTCAGAGAGCAGGTAATGAGTCAGCAGGGTCTGGATTTGAACCCAAGTCTTCTGACTTGGAAGTTAGTGCTAATGCCACTATATGGAGCTGCCTCTCCCATTTCTGTTTTGTAATTCCACTCTTTTACATGTGTCTGTCTTGTCTTCTCGATGAAGTTATAAGTTTCACAAGGGCAAGGACTGCAACCTGACCTTTTTTTTAAATGTCTCTTCCAACCCAACACCAATGATTGCACTTGGAAGGGGCTTTCGAGATCAATAAACATTTGTGGAATTGAAACAAGACTAGTAGAAACCAGAGTAACTTATGTCACCCACTCTTGGTATTATTGAAGTTGATAACTCAGGTTTTCTTTTCCCAGTGGGAAGATCTCAAGAATCATTTAAAAGCAGTGAATACCCACATCTAATGTTAGTTTAAGTGAGTGCTTTGTAAAATACTGTTTAAAATCACTTACCAAGATAATTTAGATCCCCATCCTAGAATATGGAAGTAAATGACTAGTCTAGGAAAGGGGCTTCTTGCAGATGAAGGCACTCCAAGCTTTTTTTACCAAGGGATTTATATTGACATAGTGAACAAACAATATGATAGTTGGAGGGGACCTGAGAGGCCATATAATCTAATGCATATCTGAATCAGCATCCCCTTCACAACATACCAAACAAGTGACCATCCAGCTCTTGCCTGAACATCAATATGAAGGAACCCACTATCTTCCAAGGTATCCCATTCCACTTTTGGATAGCTCTAGTTGTTCAGAGATCTTTTTGTTCATTACATCAAGCCTAAATTTGCCAGTGGAGTGCCCTCATGATCTAGGCTGGTTCCCGTGCCATTTATCATTTTTATCAATGACTTGGGGACTCTAAAAGCATAAAATCTGGCTCTAGTCAATGATAAATGGATTCCCAAACAGTAGGGATCCCCCAGATAAAGGTGTTATCTAAGGAATGTATGAGGATACTTGTTCTTTGCAGTAGGCAAGTAAGAGAGATAACATCTACATGGAAACATACAGACCTGATGGAAGAAATTATATGCTCTTTTTGAGTATGTATTTGGGAACAGTTCAGTGGTGGTGCAGTGGATAGAGCACTGGGCTTCAAAACAGGAAGACTCATCTTCATGAGTTCAAATTGGGTTTCAGATACTTACTAGCTCTGTGACTCTGGGCAAGTCACTTAACCCTGTTTGCTCCAGTTTCTTCATTTGTAAAATAAATTGAAGAAGAAAATGGCAAACCACTCCAATGTCTCTGCCAAGAAAACCACAAGTGGGATCAGGAAGAGTCAGACATGACTAAAACAACCGAACAACAATAACAACAATAAGGCAAAGGAAATTTTTTTAATTTAATTTTTTCAATTAATGAATATCTGCCTTTTCTCATTTTCACAATTGAGAATTTGTTTTGCTTAGTACTAATCCCTCTCTTAACCTATCCTCTCTCTTATTCCCCCATCTTCTTTCTCCTCTTTCTCTCCTATTCTATATCCAACTTGTGTGTGTGTGTGTGTATGTGTATATGTGTGTATGTGTGTGTGTGTGTGTGTGTGTGTGTAGGTATATGTGTATTCTTTTTTCCTTGGATGAGAGTGAGCCTCAAATGTTGCCTGGTACCCCAATCCTTCTTCCTTGTGTGTACAGATTTTTACTTTTATACCATTATGTGAGACCATTTCCTCCATCCTTTTTCTTCCTTTCTCTTTTCTTTCTTCTTTTAAAATCATCAATATATAATGAAACCATTCCTAGGCCTTCTGTCTAATTAGATTCCCTCTATGATCTCTGATGATGATAAGGCTCTGAGTTATCATTTCCCCATTTTAGAATGTTATAGTTTATCCTTGCTTAGTCCCTTATGATTTTTTGCTCATATTTACCTTTTTATATTTCTCTTGACATCTATGTTTTTATTTCAAAGTTTCTATGCAGTTCTGGTCTTTTCATCAATTCCTTGATTTCATTGAAGATACATATTTTTTCCCTATAGTTTTATGTTCAGTTTTTCTGGGTAAGTCATTCTGGGTTGTAAGTCTTCTAGAATATAATTTCATTATTTTATCTTTATTTGCTTATAGTAGTTTGTTGCTAAATAGTGTGTGATCCTGACTATTCAATACTTGAATTCTCTCTTTCTGGCTGCTTGCATTATTTTTTTCTTTTACCTCAAAGTTCTGGATTTTGACTATAATATTCCTGGGAGTTTTCATTTTGGGGTTTCTTTCAGAAGATGATTGGTAGCCTTTTTTCTATTTCTACTTTGCCCTGTGGTTCTAAGAAATCTGGGCAGTATTCTTTTATGATTTCTTAAAATATGACGTCAGGGTTCTTTTTTGGAGGGGAGAAGAGGGAGGAGCTACTTTTCAGGTAGTTCAATGAATCTTAAATTGTCTTTCTCCAATGTATTTTCTAGGTCAGTTGTTTTTCCTACGAGATACTTTTAATTTTCTTCTATTTTTTCAGTGTTTTGACTTTTAAAAAATACTTCTTGCTTCATGGAGTCATTAGCTTCTGTCTGGTCCATTTGAATTTTTGGGAGTTTGTTGCATAGGTAAGGTTTTGTAACTCTTGTTCCAAGCAGTTAATTCCCTTTCCATTTATTTCTTTCACAGCTCTCAACTTTTCCAAAAGTTTTCCTCCAGCATGATAATTTTATTTATAAATTTTTTTTTCTATAACCCTTTCTTCATCTCTTCCAGAAATTCTAGTTGAACTTGTACCCAACTTGTGTTTTACTTCGAAGCTTTGTGTAGAGATATTTTGTAGTCATTGTCTTCTTCTGGGTTCGTTTCTCGAACCTGCCTGTCACCATTATGTCTCTTTGTGATGGGATTCTCTTTTCTGTTTGGTTGTTTACTCACTTTTTTAGCCCACTTCCTGACTTTGGATTTTATGTTAGGGCCACGATTTTCACCCTTCTGAAGGCAATGTCTGGGCTGAGTTTTGCCCTCTTTGGTCCTTTTGTTGCTTTTTGGGGGTATTGAATGTTATGCTATTCCAAGAGCTCAGGGACTGCTGAAAATGTCTGATCCAGGGCAAAGGAAATTACTTCCCTCCTGGTCTGAGCTCTGCAAATTCCTGATTTGAGTTTGGGTCTTGCTCCTGATGGAAGTTCAAGTAGAATGCTGCTGAACTCAGCCATTATCAGCTAGCTGGAAAACTGTAGGTTCAGAGTGACAACTGCAGGCTACCCTTTGGTCTAGGATTTCTTCTTGAGTTATCCTACTTCAGGTTTCAAACCAAGCTTAAGTTTGGAACCGAGACCCTACTCTCTTCCTGGGATCAGAACCACACAACTACCGTTCACTTCTGAACTTTCTTTTTGCTTAATAGACATCCTAGGACATGGGATTATTTTCACCTTGGAACACCCTTGGTGCAGTTCTCCTCAGTCCACCATGGATGTGTGAACTGGAACTGGGTAGAGAGCAACAGAGATTCCAGTTAAAATCTATCCCTGCATTCTATATGAGGTCAAGACACATCTTTAGACTTTGGCTCTTATCATGCTCTGGTGCAAAGATTTATTCCTCTTTCAGTTTCTGAACCTGGAAAGCACAGCCTAATGTGCTGTTAGCCAGACCCTGACCCCATTGACTGCAGACTTCTCTACCTCTCTCCCCATACTTACTTTGGTTGGAAATATGACTCACCAATTTTTTTTCTTTGATTTTCTTATCACGACTCAGTCTGGTGCATCTTCTAGATTTTTTATGAAGTATTTATGTTGGAGAGCTTACCTGTCTTGTCTCCATCTCCAATGCAAGGCAGATTTAGGAGGATAAGAGCCCTAATGACTGAGACTTTCAGGAAAGCTTCACAGAGGAAGTAGGGCCTATGCATAGTTTTTAAAGAAGATAAGAATTATGAGAAGTGAGATGAGGAGGGAGGGCATTCCAGGGCAAGAGACACAGTAAGAAGTTTGGGGAACAGGCAGTAGTTCCACTTGACTGGAATGTAGAATTCGTGAAGGGGGTTAATATGAAATAAGGCTAGGGAGAGGGGCTGGATCCAGATTATGGAGCTTGTATTTTATTCTCGACTCAATAAATAGCTATTGAAGGCCTTCAAACAATTTCTGGGGGTTATAAGCTCAGGAGACTTTATATAGGGACCAGCACTCTGCTGTTGCCAGACCTTTTCTAGATTATTGTGTTTAGTTCTGGACACCACGATTTAAAAAGACATTGATGAGCTGGAATATGCCTAGAAGATTGTAACCAAGATGGTGAAAGGCTTTAAATCCATGTTGTTTAAAGATCATTTGAAAGAACCTGGCATGTTTAACCTGGAAAGGAGATGACCTGGGGGTTGGAGGAGGGAGAATGATGGCTTTTTAAAATTATATGAAAGGCTGTCATGTAGAGGAGGGATTAGTCTTATTCCATATGGCCCCAGAAGGCAGAATCAGGAACAATGGGTGAAAATTGCAAAGAAGCAAATTTAGATTAGATGTCAGGAAAAGCTTCTTAACATTGAGAGCTGCCTAAACATAGAAGGAGTTCATGGAGTAGTGGTGTGTCCCCTTTCCTTGGTGGTCTGAAAGCTAAAGGACCAATTGTTGGGTATATTATAGTGAGGATTCCTTTCATGTATAGGTTAGACCAGATGACTTCTGAGGCCCCTTCCAATTCTCAAATTCTCTCATTATGTTATGTTTTTTGAGCAGGAGATTTACTGAGTAAGACCTGTGCATTAAGAAGAATCAGAATTTAAAGCTACCAGACATAATTA